TCTTTACTTCAGATGTTAAGAGGCAGAATAGCGAGGACTCAGGGTAACTAGTAATGTACTAGTATGCTTTTTTTTTTCTTTTCTTTTTTTTCGACAGGCAGAGTGGACAGTGAGAGAGAGAGACAGAGAGAAAGGTCTTCCTTTGCCGTTGGTTCACCCTCCAATGGCCGGCGCACCGCGCTGATCCGATGGCAGGAGCCAGGAGCCAGGTGCTTTTCCTGGTCTCCCATGGGGTGCAGGGCCCAAGCACCTGGGCCATCCTCCACTGCACTCCCTGGCCACAGCAGAGGGCTGGCCTGGAAGAGGGGCAACCGGGACAGAATCCGGCGCCCCGACCGGGACTAGAACCCGGTGTGCCGGCGCCGCTAGGCGGAGGATTAGCCTGTTGAGCCGCGGCGCCGGCCTGCTTTGTTCTTAATTTGGGTGTTGGTTATAAATGTGATCAGATAACAAAACATATCTATGTGTTTACTGAAGTGCATTTCTTGATACAAATACTGTGTTTTAATAAAATGTTTTAAAAAAATATTGAGGCAAGCATTTGATCTAGAATTATGATGCCTCTTGGCAGGCTTGTATTCCTTATCAGAGTGCTTGGGTTTCAGTCTCTATTAATGAACACTCTGGGAGGCAGCAGGTGACTACCCAAGTAGTTGGGGCCCTGCCACCCATATTAGAGACCTGGTGGAGTTCCAGGCTACTGGCTTTGGCAAACATTTGGGAAGTGAACCAGTAGATAAGAGATCCCTTGTTTCTCTTTATGTCTCTCTTTCAAATTAAATAAAAACATACATTTTAAAAAGTTCTTGTCAAAGCTTTTAAACATTGCCAGTTTGTAAATATTAATAGAGAGCCATACAGCATTTAAGAAAATTGTGTTTAGAGAGAAAACATGAAAAAGTAAATTCCCAGTTTAAATAACTTAAAAATGTTCACAAATCATCCATATGGCATTTCCTTTTATTACTTAATTAATAGTGAAGGTTTTGACCATATGCTACAGTGCCCAATTACAGAACTGTTGAAAGTAAATTATCATACTTGATTTTTTCTTAGTCTATTTTCAGTTCACATGGAGAGTCAGCAAACATGTTGCTCTTACTTCCTTGCAAAGTTAACTAATGTGCAATGGAAAATTCCCTGCCATAAGGATCTTAAATTAAGAACATGTTATATCAGTCTCTTGATGTTATGGCTGAATGGCATCCAGCTGAAGAGTTTTTAAAAAGGTGAGGGAATGTCTTAAGAATTAAACCTCTAAGGCCATAATTTAGAAATAATCATCAAAGTATGTCTTGTGTTTAAAAAATTTTAACTAAAAAAGCCAGAGTGTCACTTCTTGAAAGAAATATCTTACCTTAAAGAAGAAAGAAAAGGGTTATCCAGACATAAAAGAGTCTATTTCACTAAATACCAATAATTGGACAGATAATATTTTTCCTACTATGATTATGAACCAGCAAATTTTTGTGGCCCAAGAGAGAAACACACAAATGTAATAACCCATCCAGGACTCAAAACCTGGTCAATTTATGTATAGCTTCCAAAGAGAGTGAATGTTGTCTTTCAGGACCACCTGTGGAAACCAAGTTTTGAAGGTCCAAAGGGCTTGCACAAATCTCATCTAGTATTTATTTAGAAGTTTATCTTTCCTCATGAGAGAGAGAGATCTGCCTCTGCTAGTTTACTCCCAAAATATTCACAAAAGCCAGGGATAGGCTAGGCCAAAGCTAGGAGCCAGGAGCTCCATCTGGGTCTGGGTCTCCCATGCAAGTAGCAGGGATCCAAGTACTTGAGGCATTATTTGTTACCTGGAGATGTACATTAGCAGGAAGCTGGATCAGAAGTGAAGGCAGGACTTAATCTCGGGCACTCCAACAGAGAATGCTGGTGGCCCAAATGGTAGCTCAACCCATTGTGCCACAATATCCTCCTAAGACTGTAGTATTTATATTGAATAAGTTTGTTTGATTTAGGCTCTGTTAGATCAGCAGATGGGAAGCAGTTTCATTCAATGCTTTCTACCTGAATTTGCCAAATGACAGTGTTTATTACTAAAATAAAGGAGGCAGCAGTTTCATAAAATTTTAAAAGAAGTGAACCCTGGAAGTTCCAGTACTAGAATAGTTTCAGAAGGAAAAGTATGTGCTTCCTCATTACTGTTTTCCTGTTGCTCTGCCTCCTACTTTCTAACTGGGCAGAGCACCAAGAACCTTGATCATTTCTCCATAAGGAAAATCTTCAGAGTGGTTTCATCCTTAATTGGTGAGAGGCAGAAGCATTGAAGAAAATGGAAGAGTTTTTGCATGATTTCCACAATAGTCACTGGAGAGGGGAGACTAGACTATATTATAGACCAAAACAATGTGTTGACAAAAAAGAATGAGAAAAAAGTCAGAACGTAGTCAGTTTTGTTTTAAAAGGAAAGGAAAACATTAAAAAACCTCTCTAGTACACCAGCTGTTCTGTGGATCCTATGACCAGCCCTATGCCATATGAAGCAATGTGACGTAATCTTGTTGAAGAAATGTACATGTTAGATTCAGTCATTATAATTGCAGCTTAAATTATCTCACATAGTTCATGAGAGCCAAGAATCCTTAGCAGTTTAGTTTCAGTGCTTGTGCCTTGAGGGTCTCTCAGGAGGTTGGAGTAAACCTGTCAGTCACCTCACAGCTTAAATAGTGAAGGGTGTTCTTCCAAGCTCATTCACATGGCTTTTGAAGGGCATCAGTTCCTTACCCTATGGGTTTTTCCAGTGACTGCTCCAGTGTCCTCATCACTTAGCAAGTGAGTTTCCCCAGAGATAAAGATAGCAGGATATCTTTATACCTGACCCTGACCTTAACCCTGACCCTAAGACAGAAGTCACAATCTTTTCATAACCTAATATCAAAAGTACCATCCCATTATGCCTACCATATCATTCACTTACAAGGGAATTGCTAAGTCTAGTCCATGCTTAAGGGGAATGGAATTAAGGGCCACCTCTTGAGAAGAATAATATATCAGAGTTTGTGGACATTGCTTGAAAACCATGCTCATGGTTATCATAGCATCTGACAAAAAGAAGGGCTAGCAAAGCACAATTCAGAATATTAAAGATTTTTTAAAAATATTTTTACTTCCGACCTCTTAGGATTAAAAATGAGGTGCTTCCTAAATAACTAATTTTCATTTAGTAATAAGTTTCTTAGAATTATATGGAAATCTCATATTTTTGGCAGGAAAAAGAGACTTGTATCTTTTTAACCTTCACAGCAATCCCTTAAAATCACAGATCTCTGCTATGGATACATCCTTGAATTTGAAATGTTAAATACAGGTTGAATGCCTTGACTCATATCACAGGTTGATAAAACTAGCAAGGAGACTTCGGTTGATAGCAGAAGAGCCGACAGCAACATTAAAAAGGGAGAGGATATCTCAGATAGGCATGACAGTTCATATACAGTTTAAAAATAACTCCTCCACAACTCTGCAATATCTTGAATGGCACGTAACCTGGCTTAAGAGTGAAACTCTACCAGTATAAATATAAAATTTAACATTTACTGAAAGGTAATAATAAATAATAGCTCACATTTCTGTTTTTTTTTTTTAATATTTTATTTGTTTATTTGACAGGTAGAGTTACAGACAGTGAGAGAGAGAGAGAGACAGAGAGAAATGTCTTCCTTTTCTGTTGGTTCACTTCCCAAATGGCTGCCACGGCCGGAACTATGCCGATCCGAAGCCAGGAGCCAGGTGCCTCCTCCTGGTCTCCCATGTGGGTGCAGGCGCCCAAGCACCTGGGCCATCCTCCACTGCCTTCCCAGGCCACAGCAGAGAGCTGGATTGGAAGAGGAGCAGCCGGGACTAGAACCCAGCGTCCATATGGGATGCTGGCGCTGCAGGCAGAGGATTAACCAAGTGAGCCATGGAGCCAGCCCCGCTAACATTTGTTGAGCACCTACACTGTAGCAAGCATCAGTCTAAGTGCTTTACACATAAGCATTCACATACTCCTCACACTAATTCTATTACTAAAAGTCTCATTCTCCCCATCTTATACTTGGAGGAACTAAAGGACAAACAGCATAAGTAATTTGCCCATGGTCAAAGGTGGAATATGAACCCAGTCACTCTGGCTCCAAGGCATATGCTATTAACTTTTATACAGCACAATCCTCTGTACCTCCCTGGATCTTTTAGTTTTGGTTTCCCCCTATATTACAATTCATATACACTTAGAATAATTATTTCTGCAGTGTTGAACTACATGTATATGTCTAATCAATAGGCAGTTCATAAGATGACAGTCATGGAAGATCTGCTCTTCCCCTGTACCAACTGCCTCCAAAACTGCCTCCAAAGTCATAGTTTAGGATAGAAAAGGTCACAGTGGATTCTGATCTCTTCTGTCTTAGAAAATCTGAATTATAGCTTCATTTGGACTTGCTGGTATCCTATTACCTTTTTTATGTCTGTAGTTTCTGGTAATGAAAATAAAAGAGAACATTACATACACAGCTCATTAAGTGGAGATGACAACAAATGTTGAAATCAGCTGGCTGAACTGACCATGAACCTTCTTGAGTATGCTTGGCCATGAACTGAAAAGCGCTACAAGAAGAAATAACCTGTTCAAACCTCAAGTATGTCCTGAAGATAGAAAAAAATCATCTGTGAGGAATGTCCAGGACCTGGGAAAATGGAAACAACCTGTAAAGTCACTTGAACTCTGGTATTGCAGCAAGAACTATAATTTACAATCATATATGACTTGATTTTACTGAGTTGGAAAATAAACCAATATTTTTGACATGGGGTAAGTTTTAGCTTTGTACTAAAGGGTTCCTAAAACTTTGTGAAAAAATAGAATTAGAAAATACTGTGGATTTTCCATGAACTTTTTGAAGTCCCCTCATATTTCCTTTCCTATTCATGCTATTTTAATCTTGCATCTACTTTTTATTCCTTCTTTCAGCAAGTACTTCTACATCAACAATAAAGAGAAGTTGTAAGGTTAGCTGAATGCCCTCAGACAAGTGATCTAGCCTCTACTGGCTTCAGCAACAGGTATCAAAGCACATGCTCGCTGCCCAATGACAGTTTGTTCCTACGCTTTTCTTTCCAGGTTCCTGGACTCTACAAGGCCACTGTAACCTCTACTGCCAGCTGTACCTGTGGTATCTTCTTGAACTTTCTGCCTTAATTGCATCTGACTTCTTGCCTTATCAAACAGGCAGAGGACATCTGATTATTCCAATCCTTGGTGCTTTTCAAAAACACAGTCTCCCGACCTCTGCTGGAAGGGAACTTGCTCATCATCTACAGCATTCGGAAGGTGATAAAGTGGATGGTGGTGAACCATTATGGGTCCCCCTTTGGGAGAGAGGGAGGGTAGCAGTTTTTGGGATTAAGCCTAATTGTGTAAAATTTCTTTCTCCCTCCCTTCTCTTGCTTAAAAGTGTTCTCTGACATCCCCTCCCTGGTCTAAAGTCTGGTGGATTACACCAAAGGAATTTATCAGAGAAAGAACCTTTTTCACTCAAGGGATGTTGTTACTATAAATTGTGTTGTGATTAGAATATACTAGGTACATTAGCGATCTTATTTCATCTCAACCTAGGATGTTAATGTATGGATCCTGTAAATGGGGGAGGGCATGTGTGGATTTGAGAAAAACATCTGGAAACAAAAATATTGGGAAACTGGGTTTTAGAAGTCTGACTATAATGGGCAGTCCTCTAATTGACAAAAATACCCAAATTTCCACTTGATAGTAGATGTGAATACAACAAAGGAGGAGGTTGCTGTTCTAGTCCCTTTGTGCTGATGTAACAAAGTACTTGAGACAAGGTAATTCATAAAGAACAGAAATACATTTCTCACAGTTATAGAAAGTGTTTTCTTGTGGCATCCTCACATGGCAGACGAGATAAGAGGGCAAAAGGCACTAGGATATTCACGTAACCAAAGAGTTCCAGAGAAAGAAGAAGAGACAGAGAGGGAGAGATCTTCCATCTGCTGGTTCACTCCCCAGATGGTTGCAATGGCCAGGGCTGGGTCAGGGTTGAAGCTAAGAGCTTCATCTGGGTCTCTCATGCGTTTGGCAGGGGCCTTAACACTTGGGCCTTCTGCTGCTGCTTTTCCCAGGCCATTAGCAGGGATCTGGATCGGAAGTGGAGCAGTGAGGACATGAACCCATATGGGATTCTGACATCACAGGCAGTGGCTTTACCTGGTATGCCATAATGTCAGCCCCCGACCCCTTTTATAAGGCCAATAATTCCATTCTTACCTCCTAAAAGCCCTACCCCTTATTATTAATATATTAATTATTAAGTTTCAACACACGAAATCTGAATGGAACATTCATACCATAGCAGTTGAACACTAGGCTGCAATAGGAAAAGCTATTATAAAATGGAAAGTAAGGCAGCAGAGCCTGTACTGTTTTGTCCAACAGGCATGAAAGAGTCGGCTCCCACGGTACTGGAAGGCATGAGGTCAAGGTTTCCCCAGATTCAATGGGACAGCTCAGGCTCCATCATTTATAGTTACCCAGAACCTCAGGGAGGCCACAGGATGGGAGCTGTCCAGATACCAGGAATATAACCAAGTCACTTCACTTTATAAGACACTGAGGCACACAGGGGTTAAAGGCTCACTCTCTTCTGGTTCCTCCTGCCAGCACTGCTCTATATTCCAGTAAAAAAGCATGGAAGGGAGAAATTCATTGAGGAGGAGGTGTGTATTAAGGGTGATGGTAGAGGGGAGGATGTTTTCCATAAAGTGGTAAATATGAAAATAAGCTCCCAGGGATAGTGATAAAAATGATAATATATTAGAATTGTCTTTTGGGAGGCTGTTAATGAGAATAGCATATATTTTTAAACATTATTTTGAAGACTTTTTAAGGTTTTATATAGTTTTTTCCTCAAAATTTAAAAGGAGTTTCACTTAGCTTATTTATTTGAATTTTATGATATTCTCAAAGCATATTCAGGCTGAGTTAACACTGATTCGGAGTTGGCATTGATAATGGAAATAACACAAGCATTGATGTGAGATGAGCGGGTTTTCAAATCTTAGCCTACTATTTGTGTTACTTTGGCAGGTCAGTAGCCCTGTGAAACAGCTTCCTCATTTGTTCACAAAATCTGGCTCTTTCCCATAACTGCCTCAGAGGGCATTTGAGAAGATAAAATGAAACAAGCTATGTAAAACCTGGCTGCAATGAGCACTCAATAAAGGCTATTTCATTATGTGTGAGATTTCAAATCCACATCTGCCCTTTCGTGTATGAGCTGCCATCAGGTTGTACAGTTACTTTTTTTATTTGCTTAACTGCTGCTGGCTCTGACACTAGACTTGAGGTGAGAAAACAGTAAGCATTATGACCACTATAAATGCACAAAGGCACTAGGAGTGCAGTATCAAACCACAAGTCTATTAGCTGTGATAAATGAGACTTCTATTAGTATAGACAACCTCCCTGAATCCACACTGACCACAGTTCATCAAGATTACTACTATTACACCAAGATGCATGTTACAGACTACTATCTTATTAATTAAAAATTCATAGGGCATGCAGACCGGCATTCTGTCAGCACCACGATAAGCTTTTTATTAATGACTGCCTCAGGCCTAGGGTACCCTCTTCCTAACATTCTGCCATCTGGGAAAGCCTTTTTGTCTTTGATGTCATGTATCCTGGCTGAGAAGGCCAAGATTCTCAGCAGTAATCGACGTTGGCACACCCTCTCTTTGAGCTGACTTCTTTTCTTGGATTCTGACCTTTCCTCATTTTCCTTTTCTCCGTTTTCTCTGCTCAAAGTGTTTTCCAGTCTCCTTTGTAGAAGCTTCTCCCACCACTTGTTCCCCCAAGGTTTTTCTTTGGTCTCCTTTCTTATCTCCTGCTACCTGTATTTGCCCAGAACAGTCTCACTCAAGGCCACCTCTTCAGCCACACCCACCTATGCACATGCAAATCTATATTCCCAGTCTTAGTGTCCAACCAGTGGGGCCTCTGCATTCCATCTTCCTATAGGGATTTCAAGCTCAACATGTCAAAAGAATGCTTTGCTTTAAACTTGTTTGTTCATTCATGCAGCCTGAATCAGAGAATTACATCAACATTAATCTGAATCCAGAGATGTGGAAATCAAATTGACACCTCTCTATGCCTGTAGCTAATCACTCAAGAACTCTTGCTATTTCTATCACTTTAGAATCTCTGAAATCCCTCTTACTCCAGTGATTAAATGTAAAGGCTTTGTATCTGATTCCTAGTGTTACTACTTGCCAGTTTTGCAGCTGAGCAAGCATTTTAGCCTTGGTTTCTTCATCTGTAAAATGGGGATAATATCTGATTGGTGGTGCCCGCACTGTGGCGCAGCGGGTTAAAGCTGTGGCCTGATGCGCCCCTATCCCATATCATGCCGGTTCTAGTCTAGGCTGCTCCTCTTCTGATCCAGCTCTCTGCTATGTCCTGGGAAAGCAGTACAAGATGGTCCAAGTCCTTGGGCTCCTGCACCCACATGGGAGACTTGGAAGAAGCTCCTGGCTTCTGGCTTTGGATCAGCGCAGCTCCAAGTTGCGGCCAATTGGGGAGTGAACCAGCAGATGGCAGACCTCTCTTTCTGCCTCTACCTTTCTCTATAATTCTGTCTTTCAAATAAATAAAATAAATCTTTAAAAAATATATCTGATTGTTGTTTAAACCAGTTAATGTTCAGTACCTGGGTCTTGGAGAGCTCTCCATATGGTTATGTTTTATTCAGTTTCTTATTTCTTCTCAGCCAGACCAGTGCTTTTCAAGCTTGAGTACACATAAGATTTCTCTAGAGGGCTTGTTGAACTACAGAGTCAGTCCTGGAAAATGCACGTTTCTAATAAGTTCCCAGGTGATGCCGACTGCAGCTCCAAGGCCTACACCTTGACTGCAGTGAGGGTAAAGCTGTATCCCCTCACCCTTTCCCAGCTGCTAAAGTCTCTCTACCATGCTGCTAAAGTCATCTTCCTAAAACATTACCCAATCTTTACATAATAGTTGCTTTAATTTCTAATAATTGCTAAGCATTTATTGCATACTTGAACAGAGTTCTAAGTGCTTAATATGAAAGCTTTAAAGCTAAGAACAGCTCTGTGAGGTAATAATATCTGTTTCAAAAGCATAGACAGCTTAAGTAACTTGTCCATAGTCACAAAGGAAATAAGTTCCAGAACCAGAATCAAAGACCAGATTCCACCCTTTAGCTCTGGAGCCCAGGATCTTAACCACTGTACTGTTTGCCCTTCTGTCCTTGTCATTTCTCAATCTCAAAATCTCCAAATAAAAAGTCTCTAGGGTTGAAGCCCAATGTGTAGCATGGCCCATGTGGTTCTCAAGTGTCCTTTCTCACTCTTTGCAACCTTGTTCCCTGAGTTCCAGTCATTATAAACTGATTTGGAAAATAGATTCCCCTGCATGAAACATCTTCACTTCCTTGGCAGCTTCAGTTCATCCTTTATAAAGCTTGGCTCAGATGTTTCCTACTCTTCCCCACCAACTGTGGAATAGGGGCCTGCCTTTTGTGAAAGATAGCCAAGCAACACCTGTCTGTGTCTTGAAAGTATACCAGGCCAACGCTGCAGCATAGCAGGTAAAGCCACCACCCACAGTTCCGGCATCCCATATGGGCACCAGTTGGAATCCCAGCTGCTTCACTTCCGATCCAGCTCTCTACTATGGCCTGGGAAAGCAGAAGATGGCCCAAATGCTTGGGCCCTTGCACCCACATGGGTGACCCAGAGGAGACTCTTGGCTCCTGATCGGCGCAGCTCCAGCCCTTGAGGCCATTTGGGGAGTAAACCAGCAGAAGGAAGACCTCTGTCTCTCTCTGCCTGTGCCTCTCTCTAACTCTGCCTTTCCAATAAATAAATAAACTTTTAAAAAAAGTATACCATGCACACCTGCTTACCTGTCTACCCCTTCACCAAACAGTGAGGACCTTCTTCAGAGTAGTATGGACTCTGTCACTTGCCCCTTGGAGGTGGTTAGCAACCACCTATTGTGTTAATGTCAACTGTATCCAGTGGGATTTCCAGGTCCTAGGGAGTCCTCACCTTCTACCTCCTTTCTTGGTTCCTTCTCTGGACTCCCTCGGGGCTATGCACAGACCAGTCTCAATTATATTTCTTTAAAAGAGATCTTATTTATGCTTATTATTGAGCATTTCCCTAAAAATAAAATGTAAAATATAACAAATATCCACAGACCTATTACCTGGCTTTAACATCTTTTAACATTTTGCTTTATTTGCTTTAGACCTTTAAAATATTACTACAGAAGAACAC